TATCATGATAATGGAAATAATGAAAATTGCATTAGTACATAAAAGTCTATTTCTTTACAATGTCAAAAGTCAAGGAAAAGAGATTATGTTACAGAAACATTACAGACCAAAGGAAGCCATTCAACCAACTACAAGGGAAATTGTTGGAAGGGTGTTTTTACCAAACACACACACACACACACACACACACACACACACACACACAAAACAACAACAACAACAACAACAAACAAAAAGCACCTCTCTAACCCAAGAGTAGGAGGCGGTGGCCCTATAGTGCTCCTGTTTAGAGGGTTGTAAAGAGACTCTGGTGTACTTCTCAGGACAGGTAGGGACAGCTGTTGCTTTTAAAATTTCAAAGCTGCAATGATCTTGACCTCTTGCTCGATGATTTTCATCTCCCCACATCCTTACCGCTTGACTGAGTGGTTCATGTGGCTCAGGAGGAAAATAGACACTCCTTCACCTTACAGTGAAATTTGGTTTTCATTCAGTGGCAGCCGAATTTTTTTCTAAGGGCAGCAGCCTCACAAGTGATGCTGACCTGATACAGGCCATTGGCAAATATAGTGAGTGGCAGCTAGTGCACGTCTAGGGATGAGAAATCCCCATGGAAGCAGTGGGCTCTCAACCCCGGCTTTGGCAGTTACAGATGGACAGTTGCAGCTCTAGCGGCACGTCTGGTTTGGGGAGTCACATGGGCAAGGCCAGTGCCAACGACCCCTCTGACACTTGTGTGTTGAGTAGGAATAGCAGCGGGACAATTCCCCACCTGCAGATTTTCCTAGAAGGACTCAATCCAGAAGGACAAAAGCAATTCACCATGGGCATGTACCACGTTTTTTCTTTCTTCTTTCTTTGGGATTATACTTAAAAGTTGGTTGGCAACAGGGATCCTCCTAAGGACCTCTTATCCAAGTGCCTGAGAAGCTGCTCTGGGCCACTTAGTGGGAAGGATCTACATTCTGCTCTCTGACCTTCATTTCTAGTGATCACAGAGCAGCCTTGCTAACTAAGGACTTACACACTATTGTGTTATTCGCAGAATTTTGCCAGTAGTGGATAAGGCTTTTGCTTCTCAAGGCTAAACATCTCTCTTTCTAGCTAAGCCATCTTCACACATGCCATGAAATGACTGGACTTGAGATTTGTCCACAAAATGATCTCCAATTCCTCTAGCTTTCAAATTCTGTGTCTAAGCTTGTGACTAAAATGAAATGAATTTCATGTTGTTTGGAAATCATGACTGTGAATTGAAAAGCGAATAAAAAGTGAAGTCTTAGTCTTCAACTAAGGATACCAAATTCCCCACGCTGAGATATCCTCTATCCCTGACAATTTTCCTTTTAATTAAAACGCAGCCTGATAAGCAGAATCTTGGGGAACATAAAGCAGTTATGTGATTCACTCAACCATTTGTATGCAAGTGTGACCTATTTAGCGTTTAAAATCCTATTTAATGCCAAAAACTACATTAGAGAATTCAAACAAAAGCTCACAGGGAGTCCCATAATGACACTGTTTTGATTATTCCAGTGATTAGCTCATTTCCTCTCTCTTTAGTAATTTCATTTAGAATAGTAGTCATTTTAAGAGCAAGTAGATTTTCTTATTGCTTTACTAGTTTGCTGTGAAATTGGCAAGTGGCCAACCATCTGTGAAACTGCAATTATTACTGTTACTTAAAATTTATCAAACCTCTTCAGGTGCTGTGGAAGTAATTCTCCCTGCCTATAAAGACAAGGCCAAGAAAGGCATTAATGAGATCCAACTTTGCACAAAAACAGACATTATCGCCCCATGTTTCAACCTACTAGCCCAAAGTTCCAGAACTGGTATTTGTGGACCCTGCTGGGAAAAAGTTGAGTGAATGATGGTTTTGATCGACTGCCATAGTCATCTACTCTTCAGTGCCTGGGAATCTATTTCTTCCTCTCATGAGAGCTATGCATTCATTTATGCAGGCGTTTATTTGTCATCAGCATTTCTTGAAAGGGATGGGTGTATAGGCTTCTACTGTAATTTATGAATAATTTTAAATAATTCCAGCAGTACTGCCTCTTTTAGGGTCACCTGTTTCTTTCTTTCTTCCTTCCTTTTTTTTTTTTGAGATGGAGTCTTGCTCTGTAGCCTAGGCTGGAGTGCAGTGGCCGGATCTCAGCTCACTGCAAGCTCCGCCTCCCGGGTTTATGCCATCCTCCTGCCTCAGCCACACGAGTAGCTGGGATTACAGGCACCCGCCACCACGCCCGGCTAATTTTTTATATTTTTAGTAAAGACGGGGTTTCACCGTGTTAGCCAGGATGGTCTCGATCTCCTGAACTCGTGATCCACCCGTCTCGGCCTCCCAAAGTGCTGGGATTACAGGCTTGAGCCACCGCGCCCGGCCTCTTTCTTGCTTTTTTACATTTTTACACATTTAGCAATGAAACAGCGGGGAAGATGCTTGAGATACCACCACTGGAACTCCTCTCAGTGCTCTACCAACCCTGGCCATAGATGATTCAAAGAAAGAGGTCTGAACAGTCAGGGTGAGGCCAGCGTGCTGCCCTCCAGTACTAAGAATCTACAAACACCCTTACCATTGTGAGCAGGTGGTTGCCTCCACCCCGCTGTGTCAGGAAGATGCAGCAATCCGCCGTGCTGCCGGCCTCCCAGGGGGAGGACAGGACCAGTGCATTTCTTAAAGCCAGTGACCCCACAGGCAGGTTCATCTGGGATGGACCAGGTCTACACCTGTTGTCCAGGCATCCTTATTGAGTGCCTACTTTCACTTTTCAAAGTATCAACCATTGGATAATGAATTGCATACTCAGCTTACTTAATGTCCCCTTGTAGCTCTGTCATCTATTATGTGACCTAACATTTACATTTTTAACCTATACCAGCAGTATGAGGCAGTGAGTTCAGGAAGATTATTCTCCATTGTGTAAAGTAATATTTACCTTTATCTGTCTTGAAATTATTCTTCAAGCGTTATGGGATTGGTCCCAGCTCTAATGCTGAGGCTCAGTGAACAAGCTCATTTGCATGCTTTTACAGATTTTAGTTTTGTCCACACCAGGCCTTTGTCCATCCAGATGGATGGCCCTAGTCTTAGAGCCTATTTGCAGAGACCTCCACCCTGATCATTAGCTTTCCTTGTTAATCAGGCTGCAGTGGTGTTTGGAGGCAACTTCTCTGGCTGTCTGAAAAGTGATGCACAATCAAGGTTTGTCCTTTCAGGCACTGATGAAAGGCCATCTGGTAGGGGAAGATGTATTACAATTTTTTTGAATTAAATGTTTTTTCTTTTCCTTTTTTTTTTAAACACATAGACAATGAAAGGACCTGCCTAGCAGGTGGTTCACAGTGAACCCTCTGTTTATGCTTGCAGAAAAAAGAAAGACCAAAAAATGAACAAAAGAAAAAGAGAAGAAATCAAGGAAAAAAGGAAGAAAAGAAGGAAAAAAGAAAGATCAGTGTATATACTAAGAAGGAATATTATAAATTCAAAACACTATTTGCAGGAGAAAACAAAACAAAACTTTGCTTTGTTATTTCATACCTTGGGCCTGAATTTGAAGGGCCAAATATTGTAAGCGATTGTAAAAAATTCCCTAGAAGGGTGCATTTAAGTGGACATGGTGATTTCTTCCTTTCCAAGACGCAGGAATTTTACAGAAAAACAAAGTACTCAAGAGTAATAGAAGAAGAAAGGAACATTTTGTAATAGAATTCTTACCCTTGTACTTTGTATTTATGGTTTAGAAGCTTGATTCCTTTAAAACAAGATGTATGAGTGTCTTCCATGTGCAAGGTGTTTTGCTGGGCACTGAAAATATATAAACTTGATCTAATTTCAGCTCCTGTTATTTTAGACATTACGATTTGTTTTCTTGTGGAACATCAAGACAATAAATTACAGCCTTCCTGCTGAATTTTACTTGTTTCTATTTTTCTCTCATGCTAATAGTCATGAGAATCACTCAAGTGCTTCCTTATATTACTATTGCAAGAACTTTCAAGTTCTTTAGAAAACCCAGTTCTTTCTCTTAAGAAAACAAATCTTAATTCATTGGAAACATGACATACATTTATTGTATATACGATCTGAGCCCCCATCAATTGGAATTGCTGGACATTTGGACAGAGGCTAGGCTGAAGTTCAACTTTATTTCGTCTTTGATCAAAGAGCTTACTAAATGGAAGTAAACAATACTTTAGAGAAAGATTTACATTTTTTCAAGGAAAAATACTTATTTAAACTGAGTGTCACATTTCTCAAGCAAATTATTTATGTTAAGTACATGCTATTCCAACTATTTATAAAAGCAGCTCATGATGGATCTCAACCTGAGAGCACTTTATAAAGCACTTAGTGTGCTACAATTCCTTTTTTCCTGAAAAATGAATGTTTTCTTTAAATATTAATCTTAATATATAACTCAGACACACAGTCTTCTTGGCTTATTTAATTTTTGAGGTCTGATTGCAAAAATTGACAAGAACATGTAAATGTATTTACAATCTAGGTACTGAAGGGGTTGCAAAGTGACAGCAGTTAGTGGAGGAGGGATGATTATAAGATACTGTGTAACTTCTGAGCAGAAATATGAGCAATCTCTGCTTCATAAACATTGCACCCTGGAAGAACGTTCATCCGTTAAGTCTGTTGTGTGCAAAGCCAGCATACACAGAACTTTCTTCTTTATGAGGAACCGTTTCTTGGGGGTAAATTTATATTGTCTTACATGTGTTTTAAATGTGGGCTTGAAGCCCCAGAGAGTTCTTATGTACCCAGGTAAATAATTAACTTTGCAAACTATGAACATGTTTAATTTGGCTTTTGAAACGATAGTTCTGAGACCAATTGTGCCTTCCTAATTTGGAAATATTTTCTTTCTGGTTTTTATTTTGACATGTACCCAGCCATCTACTTTTGTTGCTATTTCTAGCATCCCAAGGGAGCTGCTTCCATGGTTGTCATAGTGCAGACAAACACAAAAGAAAACCAAGAATTCGGTGCTTTCATAAAGCATTTATTTTTATTTGAAAACATTATACAGGCATTACATTGCCACAGCCAGTCCATAGGGGAGCATGCAAATATCAAAAATGGACAGTTTGTTGAACTTATCGGTGTAAATTTTTTTTGGTTCATATTTTCCATTTGCAGTGTTGTCAGAATTAGTGTGCTTTGTTATGTGGCTTAACAATAGAATCCTACCCATGGGGTAAAATCTGTACTGGTAGCTAGCTGGGGACTACTAAATAGTTATAAATCAAAAAGAAACCCAAAACAAACAATACTACACGCTTGTCAAAAGGTTAATAGCACAAGTTAGCAATATCTAAACTAAACATTGAAACAATTTCATGGGACATGGTGGTGCAAATTTTTCCATTGCTTGGTCACCTGGTCATGTATTTGAGAGTCTGTAGATGTGGGAAGGTCTGACCAAGGCAAGCGCTATCCCCAGTGCAAGTTTTCATTGAGGAAGTGAGAACCACCACTTAATCTCTAGCAGGGTTTAGGAGAATTGTGGTTTGCTTTTACCCGATCAAATTCTGCACAAATTGCTAAAGTCTTATTCATTGAGGAGAGATTGATTGTGGACTTAAAAACTGAAATTTTTGCTGGTGTCTACTGAGGTTATGAAATCTCAGAAACTAAAACAGCTAAAGTTAATGTTGTCCTACACCCATTTCCCACCCCATTCCCAAAGGATCGATGTTTTTTACACAGAAAAAGAATTTGTTCTTTGCAATTTTTTTTTTTTTCCTGAAGGGTCAGTCTGGAACTTCTGATCTTGAACAATTCAACATATTACCAACCTTTCTAAATGGAGACAAACCAACACATTGAGGTCACCCAGGGACATGAAAGTCTCAGTACAAGGACACTGAATGATAAAGGGTATACAGCGAATTCATTTTAACATTCACACTTGGTTTCCATACAATGGAGTCAATTAAAATATCCTATAAAATAATTCAGATGGCAACCTTTAGCCATCTGTTGATTGCAAACTTTTTGGAAATTTATATTTTTAAAAAACTTCAGTCTACTGAGTGGACTTGGAAATAATTTCATCCACTCGCTTCTCATAAGACTTTACTAAGTGTCTACAAATCAATGTCATAAAAATGAATCAAAGACGAAAACATCTGGCTTAAAATAAATACTAAAAATGCAATAAATCAAGCAAATTATTCAAACCAAAGGAATGTAAACACAAAAATAAAACCACAGTCTTTAAAGGTCTTCGGATCTGAATGGACAAAATATTCAGAGAAAGGTATTTAATTGGTTGAAAGGTAGCAGAGAGATGATGTTGGCACAGTTGTTTTGATTTGATAGAGCTTTAACGCTGATACTTTCCCCACGGAAAATAAAACATGTTTCCTAGGGGGCTGAACTGAGATGACCATTACATCTGAATATCAGAGAAGAGATTTTTTCTTCTCCATCTCCAAGGGTAAGTCCACTCACCCAGTGTAGAAGGCAGGCAAAAAGGCAATGTGGGTGCTGACAGACAGTGAGGGATGCTTTTGCCTGCCAGATTTAGGCCTTGTACAGGCACTCTGGGATCAGTCCTTCTACTGTAGTCTGTCCTTTTACTTTCCAGAGACCCCACTGGTGTTTTGCTTTGCTTGCTTGTGTAACATACATTGATTTAAATTGCCCAGTGTCTCATAAACATGTATTTTTCCCCTATAAACCCTGTAACTCCATTGAGGATCTTTTTGAACGGTATTGAAGTCAGCCAAACTAAAAGAGTACGTTACATACTGACACATAGAATCTATTCTAAATAATAGAGGTCTGTGGTGTTTCTTAATTTCCTGTGTTTGAAAAAAGGGCTATTTTAAGGGCAACAGATTAGACTAGTGACATATCATTCATAGTCTTATCAGGATCCTGCAGTATTCTCTGTGTCCATAAGAATGTTGTGTCAATATACCTGTTATTGAATGGATGCCAAATATGACCAAAATGCCAGACTTTTTCAATGATGACTTCGTTACCACTGCCAAGTGGCCAGATCAATTAAGCCATTTTCAAAGACTGCTCCACATCAGCACCTTGACTTTGTTAGGAGGTGGCACAACCAATGATTTTCCACAATAAAGGTAATTTCCATGCTGGTGTATTTTTAAAAAGGTGTCACAGAATTAAAAGGGCAGAGAACCATGGCTTTTTCCAGCGCCTTGATTAATTTCCATATTATCACTAAGGAAATCTAGAAAAAAAAGAAAAGATAGTTTTTGAAGAGAGGCTACAGGGAGGGGCAGAAAGATTTTATAATTATATACTGCCCTAAACACAGATGATATTATTTCTGGGGGCTCCCAAAAGCCACAGAAATGGAACAGTCCTTATCTTGTTATTACAGGGACTTGATTAGCAGAATCATGAGGCACAACAGAAAGGCAATGGCCTGGAGTAATCAGAGATCAAAATATAAAAAGGCTAAAATGTTTCTTTTATATCTATTCCTAGAATAGAGAATTATATGGTCAGTTGCCCCTCCCTACAAAGGTCACAGCACAAAATACTTATTGAGCAGGCAATCCAACAGGTAACAGAGGAAACCATGAGCCACCAGGTCCCTAGGATAAGGAAACTTCTCAGGGGTGGAGCTCCTGTGGCATGCATCACTCATATAGTCTGTGCAAAAAAATAAAGTATGACTCTTAAAAAGTGAATTGCCATAGAAAAGTGGGGTTTATGTTGACTACATGTGGGTCTGGCAATAATTTCCGTCAGGAGTACAAAACATCCTCCTGAAAGTTGGTGTGATAACAGTAACAATAATAATAACATAAATCATAATAACAATAATACTTGCTTTTGATTCAAAGGTTTTCACAGTAATGAATGCAGGGGAGTTGTGATCAGGATACACATTAGCTAGGCATCTTTCCGAGTCAGGTGGATTAGAGCCTGTGTCTCCAGTGATGTTGAGCTTGTTCCTTTCACAAGCTTTCAGAGGATTTGCTACCTTGCAGTCCACCTGTGTAAACTGCACCTAGTAAATACCTTTCTCTATGTACAATACAGAGATGATGGGCAAAAACATGGCCAATGAGTTGGCCTCAGTGGGCAGGGCGGGCCTCACCCTAGGCCACACGAACATGAGGCTCCTCTTCGGTCTCCTGGCCCAGGCTGGTGTAGGTGACTGAGGGTTCCACCTGAGCTGTGGTCGGTAAGTCCACAACAGGTCCTGAAGGATTGCGGAACTGCTTATACACTCGGGGGTCCTGGGCTATGTAGGTGGAGGTGGAGGAGTAGAGCACCAGCCCAATGAGGATGGTGAAGAAAGACAGGAGATAAAGTCCTGAAAACTAAAAAAACACAACAGTAAAGTCATTTGACAGCCAGGGCAGAACCACTGACACATTAATGAGGCACAGAGAGATGTGAGCAGAGCTGCTTCCTCTCAGAACAGGCAGCGTGATCAGTTGGCCAATACCCTTGATGGAGAATGAATTTTCTCATCCTAAACTGGCTTGGTCCTATTGATTCCCCTTGTCTTTCCTAGACCCTGTGGTTAACACAGAGGAACACTTCACTAATCGTCTCTAAAGTGCCAATCTGAGGATCTGGTATGGCGCGAGAACTAGTTAAGCACAACTTAAAATGCATCAAGTTAAAAGCAAAAAATCTCCAGTATCACTCAATAAAAAGTTGGTTGTTTGTGGCTTCATTAAACTTAGAGAAATACAGATATCCTCTTTAGGGCTGTAATGAAGCCATAAACAACGAATGGCTCACTGACAGCTGCATCAGGGCACTCTCGTTACACCTTAATCCAATTCAGACACTATTTGTCTTCCTAGTAGGAATTGTTATTGACTTTGGTAAATATCTTTGCAAGATTAGATTATCCTTGGACAGAAAGAAATAGTATAACTTTCCATTCCTGACCCACTGATCTATAAACAAAACCAAACAGGACTGTATATACAACATTCTGCTTCCTAATCTACTTGCTTGACAATTCAGAGAGTTTGGGGGGAGAGGGAGAGAAAATACTGGTTTATACAAGTCGCAAGAATTTACGTATGTTTTTGGAAATTTATGACTTCTGGACCTTCTTGAGTAGTTACACTGGAAGTAGTTACTTCAGTAGTTACTGGGGAAAGAGTATGGTAACAATATGAGTATTGCCATTTCTTGTGTTTCATTCATTCATTCATTCATTCATTCATTCATTCCCTCCTTCATTAAATGAATAGTTTCTTATATGCCTTCTCTATATCACACACTGAACTATGTACTGGGGAAAGAGAAATGAAACATATGTTGATCCCTACCATTTAGGACTTAATTGTCTCAGTGGCCAAACAGGTACAGATAGACAAAAACAACACAATGCACTTACAGCATGCCAAATCTCATTTCAGTCAATAGCTAATATCCCAGTCTTGACCACATCCTGTGTCCATGGGGAAAAAGGGATCAATTTTATTGTCCTTTTTAATGCTAATACTGAAAGAACTAAAAACTGCTAAAAAGACAAAAATTAATTGGAAGTTGGAAGAAAGGAAGACAGGAAAATGACCCAGAGATCCTATGAAGTAAGTTACAAGGCTATAATAAAAAGCTAAAAGATGGCTCTAACTGTAGTTCAATAATAGGAAAGGGAGTCTTGAAAATGGCTCATAAAAAAAGGTATCCCTGCAACTAAACGTCCCTTCTACAGTGTTGTTTTCTTTCTTTCTTTTTGCAGCAGCAAGGGAGCTAAGACTAAAGATGCTTTTCTGATTTTCTTTCTAGAGCACTCCACACCCTGTCCCTCAATTCCTTTATTTTTCACATTGAAACCATGATAACCCTAGTTCAGATGGATTTATGTACTAGACTCAGTTTGTAACAGTTTCACTTAATTAACTTGACATAATTTACTTTTCCCAATGAAAATAAATGTGCCTTATTCTTTGATTCATAAATTTGTAAAATAAAATGGTAGAAAAAGAACACTAACAGTACAGTCATGTATGATCTCAGAAAACCTATTTACACTCAAATTTGCTTCCTGAAATTCTATATTCAGGAGCTTCACCCTTTACCTGAAACTTTGGTGAATGAAATAGGTCTGTTCCTAACATTATCATCACTTCAAATATTTTATTAATTACTTTCACTTTCAAAACTCCACCCATACGTCTCTAGTTTCAAGCAAAGGGTCTGAGGTGTGAACCTGCCTCTACTGCAGCATATGGAGGTAGATAGATGACGAATGAGCATTTTATAGTTATCCCTGCATTCTAACCACCAAGCTGGCTTCAGATCTCAGCTCTACCACCTTCTAGCTTCAATTCTGGACACATTTCTTAACCTTTCCAGGTCCAAGCTTCCTTATCAGTAAAGCACACCTATTATAGGTTGGTTAAAAGATTAGATTCCATAAGGCATGTAGAAGAACACTTATCACAGTTTCTATCTTGCTGCAAACATTCAATTCACATTAGCTTCATTCTTATTATTTTTTTGTTATTACTATAGCACTTATTTTATCATAGCAATACTGATATATCTTATAATAATCTGATATAATCATTGGTTAAATTGTCTTTTTTTTCTTTTTTCTTGAGACAGGGTTTCACCTCTGTCACCCAGGCTGGATGCAGTGGCACAATCATGGTTTACTGCAGCATCAGCCTTCTGGGGTCATGTGATCCTCCCACCTCAGCTTCCCGAGTAGCTGGGACTACAGGCACCTGCCACCATGCCTGGCTAATTTTTGTATTTTTGTAGAGACAAGGGCTTTGCCATGTTGCTCAGGCTGGTCTCAAATTCTTGGGCTGAAGCTGTCTGCCTGCCTTGGCCTCCCAAAGTGTTAGGATTATAGGCGTGAGCCACCGCATCTGGCCTAAATTGTCTTTTTTCAATAGTCTCTTGATTACAAGGATGTGTCTTGTTTGACCAATGCCAAGTACAGAGCTTGGCACCATGTAGACATCTACTAAATATTATCTGCTATTTCTTTTTTTATCTTGAATGAATAATGGGGAAGTTTCAGACTAAAGAAAGAAACATAATAAAAAAAATCAGCCTGTACCAGTAGAGTAGTTCAAACATTTTAGCTTTAAACTAGATAATGCAATGCCTTTCTAGTACATAAAATGCTCAACAAAAACCCGTTAAGAAGGAAGTCCTAGTATGAATCTACAATCATTGACTCCAAAAATCATCTTCAAACCTGGGGTCAGTCAGAGGAGTGTGATAGGACGATGAATTGGAAGAGACAATGAAGAAAGCCAGAGTCTGGATAGAAGACTCAGGGCTGCTGATCAGTGGACTGGCATAGAGGTGTCATAAACTTGGGGTGGGCAGGATTTGGCAATTGAAATAATGTAGTGGTAGAGACAGGAAAGGATTGAATACAGAGTATCCAGGTAGAAGGATTGGATTCCTCTCCATTTATGATTTTAGACTTGATCAATATGACAAAGAATATACTGTTAAATTTTGTAAAGCTAATGCCTTCACCATTGTAAGAAATGATACTTTAATGTACTGCTTAAAGGATCATCCCTTTTTTGGACATGGAACCATCAGGTTGAGTGAGAAATTCATTACAGAATTGTTTTCTTGGGACACAGCTTTAGCATAATAACACATAGTTTATTTTTAATGCACTTCTATTTAATTCATATGGAATTCAGTCAAAAAATAGCTCCAAAGATAGAGAGCATGGGATTTTATAGGGTGGAAGTATCTTGGAAGTCACCCAAGAGGCTTTATGAATAAATGGTAGAGAAATTTTTCATTTTAGATACAAGCCCAAAAAGACAGCAGTCAAGCAAGCATTATGATTAATCAGGATAAATGTTGAATGTTATAAATGTTGAGAGAAAGGTTTGCTTCTTAAAAAATAAAAGTAAAAAAAAAAGTTTTATTTTTCCCTCTTTTTAACTTAACTTGAAAAAAGAAAATTGAATCAGGGATGCCTAATAGAATGACCCCCTATTCTGGATGGTGCACTTTTCTTGTAGAGCGTTCATTTCAAAAATCAATCAATCAGACAAAAATATTGCACAATCTAGGCTGCTTAACTTACCAACTGCAAAGAAATACTTATTTCTACCTCCCCAAGTAAAGAGAACAGGAACTTCTCTGGAATGCTACATGAGGACTGAAAACTGTCTCTGAGTTACAGGTAAGGGAAGCTCAGGCAGAGGCTGGCTGTCTCCACTGGAGAGCTGGGGCTGCTTGCTATCCAAAGTGTACTTGAAGGGCTTTCCCTTTGCAAACTGTAGCCATCAGAATATGTTGTTTTTTCGGTGCTGCAGACACACTTTTTCCTGCATTTTATCTAACTGGAAGCCTTAAGAATCTGAGAAAGGATAACTCCTGTATTAACACGACCATATTGCAGACGCTGTTTACTTTGCTGCTGTCTTTTTCACCTTCATGAGTCTCTTTGAGAACACAGGTCAGAAGGCACTCACTGTACATGCTGAAAATCCCTGAGTGCTGCTTAAAACAATCTGACTGAGACACAAGCTATTATACAGGATGAGGTGGCTTGGAGGATGGATAATAAGCCTGTACAAAGCTCTTTAACTTCCAACCAGAGTTAAACCTAGCTCTTAGAAAGAAAGCTGGCCTGTCAGTTGGATTGCTATTTAGTTCCTGTGGCATTCAGCACATCACAGACCAAATTTTCATTTTATTTTTGGCATTTAACTTCTAAGTCAAATTTTAATAAACCTAAATCTATACAAGTGGAAAATCATGTGGTTTGAAAGTCATTTCAAAGTCCATTTATAAATACATCAACTAGACTATGTGAAGAAGAGGGCAATGCTTCAATGGCAACTTTCTTTTTCTAGCTTGACTGAAAACATGGCAGAGGTCAGCAGAGGAGAACATGAGTGATCCCTAGAGAGGCGCAAAGTGGACTCTGGGTTTCAGCTCTACTTTTGTTGAATATATGTACCAACCACTTCTATATGGTGGGCCTGGGTTTTTCCTTTATCCCTGGGAAGTGTACCTTAAAGAGTCCCTTTAAGCATATGTCTCGGTGTAGCTTTTTCAAGGCTCCTAGCCTGGTGTGGTGATGCATGCCTGTAGTCCTAGCTACTCAGGAGGCTGAGGCAGGAGTTTGAGGCTGCAGTGAGCTATGGTCCTGCCACTACACTATACCTGCCACTACACTATACACAAGCTGTCTCTTTAAAAAAATACTCTCTCTTTCTCTCTCTCTCTCTCTCTCTTTCTCTCTCTCACACACACACACACACACACACTACAGGCCCCTTCTGCTGACCTGATACCATCTGCCTTCTGAAATTGCATTCCTATAATGAATGCTTGCTTTCCTTGAGCACAGTGA